GGGGGGGGGAGAGAGAAACGATAGGGATAAGAACAGAGGAATAGCGAGCTAGAAGGCAATGCCAGGGATTAGAAGCAACAGAGTAAGATTGAAAATGTGCGATAAGAGAGCGTATAGATAGTAGAGAGTGTATGAGAGTAGAGAGATCTGATTAATTTCTAATTATACCTAGAAAATAATATCACATCTATATTACATCTATATCTTCTTCTTGCCCACAAGGAAGACCCTGTTGCAGCCACAAGCCCGAAGGCAACGTCGAAGAGGAGCCTTGCGACCCGACCCGAAGGACCGGGATGGATTTCAACATCGTCTTCCTCGAAACAAAAAAGCATCGGGGACAAAAGCTGGACTCCAGCCCGAATCCGTTGCAGTACGAGGAGAGGGGGACATCTATTAAAACCACCACCAGCAACAGCCCCTCTACAACAGCAACAATAGCCACAACAACAACAGCAGCAGCGTTATTCGCGGGTCCCCCTCACAGGCGCCAGCGTAGTGCGCTCTGATGTGGAGTGAAGCCAAGCCGTCTCGCGGCCAATAGCAGCACGCGCGAACACCGCAAACATGGCCGTAGAGTGCAAAGTCAAACGAAGATACAGGATCCAAAATTGTATCGGTCCAAATGGAAGCGCGCGGCCGGGGAGGATCCCACCGCCCACGGTTTCCGGTCGCATGAGGGCCGCTCTCGCAGAGCGCTATGCGACGCGATTATTTAGTAAAAAAAACCAGAGTGAGGTTTTCGATGCAACCATCCGCCATGGAATGAGTAATCACTTCATGTGGACAAGGCATACCCGCTTCGCCGACTGGCGTTTTTTCCACTGTGCGTGCCTCGACGTGTTCCCCTTAAATGGGGCGCGAATGATTAGCGCTGTCGACGATGCGGGTATAAGTCGGAGACCTTACCACCCCCCGTGCTCTGCCACTGCAGGCCTGCATGTCGATTGCGGCACAACCGCATTGTCGAGCTTGTTGCGGCTTTCAGATTCCCAGGCAATCTCAAGGTAAACCAGAGAGTCCCAAGCGGAAATCTCTCGGTCTTGCGTGACCTAGTCGTGACGCATGAGTCATTGAGAACTGTCGTCGTGATCGACGAAGCCGTGCCTTTCGAGAACACCTTCGAAGCACTGGGGAAGGCAAGTATGGAAAAAATACTTAAGTATCAACCCCTTGCCAACTCATGCGCAGGCGCGGTTACGTCGTTCACGTCGACGGGTTTGCTGTAGACACCCTTGGAACGCCTGCTGGCTCTGTTGCGCGTTTCATCGGGCTGGTCTGATGAGATGATTGATATTGTCGGAGACGATCGCGTGGTCCCGTGACGTGTACGTTGAGCACGGAAACAAGAGTGCTCCCTTCTGGAGCCCTTATGGCACTTGAAGTATCGATCCCGGGACCGAGTGGATGCGATGACATTAGCGGAACCGTGAACTTCGTCGAAACAAACATTTAAGTTAAATTGACGCTAGCACAACGTGAGCTAGCTCAAATTTTATTCTTAATAACATTTTTATTCTTTTAAGTATGGACAATTAAGCTATTTTATCCGTAGATTCTTTCATTTTACTTTCTTTCTCTTTTAATAAGCAGCCACTCTGCTCCGGGCCGTCTGCAACAGTATCATTTGGTCCACCTCAGCCGCGTTTTATTCGTCCTCCGATTATATAATTTCTCGCGAGCGTATGTACACGTGGCGACCCATTGGCCGTAAGACGCGTGGACCGAGAAACGGGTGCCCTGGTCCAGTCACACAACTATTCATAAGTCTAGTCATTCACTTACTCCGGTCATAGTTACCTATTTATCCCTATTTATTTATTTATTATTGTTATACATTGTTTTAGTTTTTATTTATTTATTTATTTATTTATTTATTTATTTATTTATTTATTTATTTATTTATTTATTTATTTATTTATTTATTTAT